TGTATCTACTGGACCACCTAGGTATTCATTTGCTCCAGACATATGTGAAATATTACCATCAAAAAAATCATTCCTTCAAATTAAGCACTGCCCATTCACTTCTGGTACTTTCAGAAAAGCGCAAGTAGTAAGATATTTAGTCCCTCTTCACTAAAAATTAGTTTAGGCTTTCTTAGCAGAAATAGGGCTGGCTGCCTTAGTTTTGTTTTGTTTTTTTAATTAATTTTGATTTATCAATAATCACTTCCATATGCTTTTGAGTTTAAAATTTTTCTCCCCCTTCCTCCCCACCACCCTCCCCAAGACGGCACACGATCTGATATAGGATATACATATACACTCCTACTTAATATATTTTCACATTAGTGATGTTGTAAGTAAGAATTAGAACCAATAGGAGGAACCACCAGAAAGAGGAAACAAAACTCAACAGAAGAAAAAAAAATAGCAAATAGTATGCTTTGATCTGCATTCAAACTCCATAGTTCTTTCTTCTTTGTGGATAGCATTTTCCATCACGAGGCCTTTGGAGATGTCTTAGATCCTTGTATTGCTGAAAAGGGTTAAGTTTATCAGTATTAGTCATAGCACAATGTGGCTGTTATTTTTGTACAACATTCTCTTGGTTCTGCTCACTTCACTCAGCATCAGACCATACAATTCTTTCCAGGTTTTTCTGAAGTCAGCCTGTTCATCATTTCTTATAGCACAATAGTATTCCATTACATTCATATACCACAACTTGTTCAGCTATTCCCCAATTGATGGGCATCCTCTCAATTTCCAATTCTTTGCCAGGCTGGCTGCCTTAGGACACTGAATTGAAAGAATCACTGAAAGGAGATGAGGGTCCTTAAAACAAACTTCAGATTTTCCTGGAGCTGGCCCAGGTACTGTCTGTGTGATTCATCCTGTCACTTAACTTCTCTGTGTGGATATCACTAATATCCACACCTATCTGAAGCTGCTCTGGTAAATGCTTAACAACTGACTTTTAAACCAAGATGCTTTTAAGTTGAACACTTTTTTCTATCACTTTCTTAAGGCTAGACAACCCACGAAACAATCACTCAAGCCCCAGTTTTGTAGCATTTGCTGATTTCAGAACTATAAATGCTCAAGCTGAAAATTTAACAACTGGTTTTCAAGAGCCACACCCCCTGCTCCTATCTTCACAACTAAAAATCACACATCCCCACACTTTATACAGAATCAACAAACAGCCCTGGTATATAGAAAAAGTCACCAAATTCATCTGAATTTTAGTTTCGACTCTGATTCTCATTTATTTTGTGACCTTAGAAATATCAGTTTAAACCTCTGGGGCTGTTTCCTCTTGTGCAATGAGGATAAGGAATTACAGCCACCACCATCACACACCCACCATCTTTGCAGATCATTAAAATCCCCAGACTCTTCTTCAAATAACTTGCCTTGCCTTCCCCAACTACCAGTGGGGACACCCTTTTCCCTTGCCCTTCCTTTGTCCTTCTCCTAACAACTCTTAGGACATCTAACATCTTAAGATGTCCAGACCCCATCAGGGTGGTTAGTGAGAACAGCAACATGACTGTTCAGACCACTTTCAGTAATCAGGGTGTCACCAGTTACTAGCCTTTCAGGGAGATGGATGACCAGCTGACTTACAGGTCATTTGCCCTGACACTGCATCCTAAAGTCCTCCAGTCTTTACCACCTGCCCTGTTGTTATACCTCCAGATCGCTGGACACCATCATCTGTCCTGCTGAAGCACCCTAAGGACCCTTCGGCCTTCCCATCAGATCAGACTCTTAGGATTCAGGGGCCTTTCCATCCAACCTGCAACTGATCTCTTTTATATGCACTGTCTCCCTTGCTTAAAGTTGGGCTCTTTAAGAACAGAGACTGTCTCTATTGTTTCTTTTGGTATCTTTAGCACCTAGCACAGGGCTAGAGCCATAGTAAGTGCTCAGTGAATGTTTCTTCATTCATTCTTCCAATACAATGGGTTGGATTTAGATGACCTTGGAGATCCCTGCTGGTTCTGAAATTCTGTGATTCTGTGGGAGGACAAGAGAAGACTCTGGTGGACACACAATTACTAAATGCTTCCTTAAAAAACAGCTTTGAGGACTCTAGGGCCAAAGAACATGAAGTTATGTTGGCTAGGCCAAGAACCAAATGAACATCTAAAAGTCTACTGAGAATCCACTCCATCAAATGGAGGCTAAATTAGCCCATGAAGAAGAAGAGAAAGAGAGGACTGAGGTGGCTGGTAAAGGGCACTAAGGCAGCTGACCAGGGCCAGGGGAGCTTCAGGGTGGTAATGACTGTATCTGTCACTTTAAACAAGTCTATGGGAAAGCTGAGCTGCTGATCACTATCCCTTAATAGGGAAGGAAAGCTTCAAGCTATGTATCCAAGGCTCAGCTCCCTTCCACCAAATGCCAGTTCTGCACTGGAACACAGATAGCAAAGAGCAAATAAACCCATTTACCCAAGCTGAGAGCAAACAAAAATCAGAGAAGGTAGGAGAGAGTCCCAGATCTTACCCACAGGAAATTCTCTAAAAATCTCTATTGTAGTAAGCTATGGATAGGGACGTTATCTTCACCCCTTCCTTTTTCTTGCTCTCTCCTCTTCTCTCTCTTCCCCCCTCTCCCTTTCTCTCTTCTCTCCCTCCCTTTCCGCCTTTCCCCTCCTTCTTTCCCTTCTTCCCTCTCTCTCTCCCTCCTTCTCTCTCTCTTTTCCTCCTTTGCTCTCTTCTCCTCTCTCTTCTCTTCCTCTCTTCCTCCCCCTTCCCCCTCTCTCTTCTTTCCCTTTCTTCCGCTCTCTCCCTTTCTCTCTCTTTCTCTCTCTTACTCTCTGAGTAGGTTATGAAAGTAAATGAGGTAATTTGGGGGGGTTGTCACTAATTGCTGGGAGAATCAGGAAAAGCCTCATATAGGAATTAACCCTTTTAAGCTTTAAAGAAAGCTCGGGATCCTAACAAGCATAGGTGAGGAGGGATGGGCATTGGAGGCATGTAGAACAGCCCATGCAAAAAACAGACAGGAGATGGAACATTGTTCTCAAGAAACAAAGAGACCAGTTTGGCTGAATATAGAACATGTGAAGGTGAATAAGGAGGAGTCTGGAGAGAATCCAGGTGAGAGTGGGGTGAAATATGGCTGAGGTCCTTCCTACAAATAGTGGTGCCAGGGAGGGAAGGAGGGCCCAGGACCAAAATTTCTCAGAGTGGTGATGTAGCAAGTGAGGAGGAGGAGGCAGCATCTGGAGGGAGCCCAGGAGAAGCCAATGAGCCTCTCTAAACATAGTGAGCTTGGGCAGCAGACTATGCCTTTGTACCTGACCCCATACCATAAATCATCCTGGCTTAGTAGGACCTGTCTGAGCTTGTGCTCCATTGGAGTACCTTCTATAATAGTCAGGAATCCAGCATGGCCTCCCTGGGCCCTTCCATAACTGCTGGAATCCAGGGCCACCTCCAGACCACTATGAAGCATCGGAGGAGGACTTATTGGAAGTGTCTGAACCCATAGCTTATTTTTTTCCCCTTTCTTAGAATACTCATAGTGTACAAATGGATTTCTAATTGTGTGGTCTATTATTGAAAAAACTTGAAAATGCTTGCAACAATTAATGTCTAAATAGTAAACATAAAGGATAGAGAGCTTTCCTTAGGAATCAAGAAAATCTGGATTCAGGTCCTGTCTCTGATAGAGACTGTGTGATTGATCCCGTTACTTAATTTCTCTGCCCCAGGTAACTCTCTGAGATGATAAATTTTGGGTTTAGAAAAAAAAATCTGAACTTAACAAACAAAATGAACAAGACCATATTCATTGTAAAACAGAAAGTGGAGATTATATAAGAAATTGGGAACCTCTATAGTGCTTCCTGTTCTTTTAAAACATAATAAACATGCAATAAAAGTAGGCAGCTAAATGGTCCAGTAGATAGAGCACCAGGCCTGGAATCAAGAAGACCTGAATTTAAATCTGGCCTCCCACATTTACTAGCTCTGTAACCCTGGGCAGGTCATTTAGCCTCCATTTGCCTCAGTTTCCTCAACTGTAAAATGGGTATAATAATAGTACCTACTGGGGCAGCTAGGTGGTACAGTGGTTAGATCACTGGCCCTAAAGTCAGGAGGACCTGAGTTCAAATCTGGCCTCAGACCAAACACTTGATACTTACTAGCTGTGTGACCCTGGGCAAGTCACTTAACCCAGATTGCCCTCCTCCAAAAAAATTAGTACCTATCTCCCAGGATTGTTGTGAGGAACGAATGAGATAATAATTGTAAAGTGCTTAGCACAGTGCCTGGCACAAAGTAAGTGCTATATAAACATTAGCTATTATTATTATTAATTATCTCATCATGTAACCTGCTGAAATTGTAAGTTGCAGAACAGTTCCTGACTTGCTGTTGCAGAAAGAGTTTTCCTGGCTGGAGCTCCCTACAGGGATGAAATCACAGGTCCGAACTCCTGAAACCTCTAAAAGTTCACCTTCTTGAGGCTTTTAGGACTTCTCTGAGGTAGATAGCCACAGGTAGGACCCACTCTGCAGCTGACGCTAAGACTGGTCCAGGTCTCTGAGCTAGGCAGAGGCAGGATTTGAATCCAGGTCTTGGGACTCCAGAGAGCTGGGGGTGCTTCCACTACATCAATGCTACCTTGCCTGTCCTCTTGTGGTTAGGTTCTGGGACTGTCCTCTGCCCCTTAAGGGGCCCCAGCAATCTTCCTGCTCCACCTCGGTCCCTATCTCTGTCCCTCACTGTTCAATAGGTTGGGACAGATTCTGTAGTATCACGGGGACCAGCGAGGCCCAATGAACTCCCCTTCCACCCCACCCCCCACCCCCAGCTTTGGCTGCTGCTGCTGTCTGGGGGGCCGGTGAGTTCCTCCGTCTGCCTCCTCCCCTCTCTTACCTCTAGGCAGGTGAGATCTCTTTCTCCCAACTCCCATAAAAAGGCAGGCAGCTGCTGGGTGAGGAGCTCCCAGTGCTGGGTACCTGGGTAAACTGCTTCCATGGAAACCAGCGGCAGCTTTTACAGGTAGAAAGCAACCTCCTGAAGACTAACGGGGGAAGCTTGCTGGGAACCGGGGCCAGCAGGGAAACGCAAGAAGGAAAACACTGTCTTCGCGGGGCAATCCCCACAGTCCGGTTGGACTCGGTACATTCAGGTGGGTTCATGTAGGGCTGGCTGGTGGCCCAGAGAGTAGCAGGGAGGACGGTGTGTGTAGAGGGATTGAGGTTTGTGGGGAACAAAGGAGGAGGAGAGAAAGACTAGGAAGGAGCCAAGACACGCTGAATGGTAGGAAGCTGGTGGGCTCTGAGGCTCTAGAAGGCGCTGCCTGGGGAGATCAAGGAGATCTTGGAGAGTTCCCCCTGCAACCTTTTTGTTCTCACTGAGGCTTCCAGAACCAAGAAAGAACTTTCCCAGATACTGATACCATCCATTTGTGCCTTTTCTGCTAGCATCTTCCCGGTGTCTTCCTCACTGCCTGGTACCAACACTGCCTGGTATACATTCCACTTGTGCAGTCTGTCTGTCCTACCCCAGTTGGACCCAGTAGAGGTAAGTAATGGGCATTTGTCCCCAAAAGTAAGAGAGATCTGGGAATGAACAGAAAGCCTCATGCCCCTGCCTCTTTACTCTAGCGAGCAGCTCTGGGTAAGCACAGAACTCCTGGCCCTGCGGGTACCCCTGTGTCTTTGTCCTGGACATTTGACAGCTGAAGCCACTATGTGGGTGCAGAGGGCTGAAGCTGTTTGTCCAAAACAGCTCATTAAAGCAGAGTATCCAGGTGCCTGGTTTGCAGGTCTGGTGACACCCTCTCCATTCCTAGGCCCCTCCCCTGGGGAGGAAGGGAGGGAACCTTTTGCTTTCCGGGGGTTGTGTTCCCCGACCTCCAAGTCTTCGTGGGAGACCGAAAGACTGAGGGTGGTGGGTGTTCTTCCAGGAGAAGTACAGGCTTAGGTCTCCTGGATGGAGCAGCCCAGGTCTGAGCGATGGCCGAGAAACTGGGAAACGAGCCTGAGGCCGAATGTCCGGTCTGCTGGAACTCATTCAACAATACCTTCCGGACCCCCAAGGTCTTAGACTGCCGCCACTCCTTCTGCATTGAATGCCTGGCCCACCTGAGCTTGGTCTCTTCCTCCCGGCACCGACTGCTGTGTCCCCTCTGCCGCCAGCCTACAGTCCTGGCTTCAGACCGGCCAGTGACTGACCTGCCCACAGACGCTGCTGTCCTTACGCTGCTCCGCCTGGAGCCCAAGCACATCATCCTCGAGGGCCGGCATCTCTGCTTCAAGGATGAGCGCAAGACCAGATACTTCTTGCGCCAGCCCAGGGTCTACACTCTCAACCTGGGGACTGAGCCGGAGAACCAGGCAGGCACAGCCCAGCAGGGGGCAGCGCCCCCCGCCCCTGTGCCGGTCCCCAGCCACTTGTCCCTGCGAGAGTGCTTCCGGAACCCTCAGTTCCGCATCTTTACCTACCTGATGGCTGTCATCCTCAGTGTTGCCTTACTGTTAATTTTCTCCATCTTCTGGACTAAACAGTTCGTCTGGGGTGCAGGGTAAGACATGGGCAAGGACCACAAGCCAGTCAATACAGGGAGTTCTGGGAGGGCCAGGCTTGAACTGGCTGCTACTGGAGAGACCCCCTCTCCCACTTTCCAGATGGATGGGGGAGCGGCTGAGCCCAGAACTAATGCCCTTCTTCTGCAGCGTTTGGTCCTATCACAATCCAGGAGTTGGTAGTCTATTTACTACTGAGAACTTCTGAGACCTGAAGGGGCTAAGAAGGGACCAAGGTGCCATTTTCCCAAGGATGCTGAAATGGGATTCCAGTTCTTTGTTGCTGGGGGGTGGGAGGAAGGTATACCTCCAAAAGCTACCTCAGAAGGCAAATCAATAATGGTCCCCCTGACTGTGATGGAGAAGCAGGTTAGTGACAACAGATGGAAACATTTGGGAGCCTGTAAGCTCTACACCTTGGCTTCAGACCCCAAAGTAGGTCACCTTTCCCCTGAGCCCTCCCAGCTTCAGTCCTGGTTGTCCCAAGTTGTTTTCTCTCTGATAGACCTCTAGAAATTTGTGTGTATGCCAGTCAGTCAATAAACAGTTATTAAGCACCTACTAAGTGCCAGTCATTGTGCTAAGTGCTAGAGATACAAAAAGAGGCAAAAGACAGTCCCTGCCCTCAAGGAGCTTACAGTGTAATGGGGAAGACAACAAACAAATACATACAAATAAGCTCTGTATGAGATAAACAGGAAATAATTAACAGAGGGAAGGCACCAGAATTCAGAGGGATTGGGAAAGGCTTCTTATACCAGATGGGACTTTAGCTGGAACTTAAAGGAAGCCAGGAAAGCCAATAGGTGGAGAGATGAGGATGTATGTGGAAGGACTTATCTAATTCTCTTTCTCTTCTCATTCATTCCCCTGCGCAAACCTTGCTTCCTCACTTTTTCCCCTTCCCCCTTTTCCCATCCAAGTGGTTTCCAGGCAACAGAACTAACTTATCACTTGGAACCATCTCCCCGGTTGCTTAATATAGGAGAGAAATCTGCTACCAAAATTTAATGTGTTGTATGATGCATAAGGTGCCTTACACACCTCAAATAGGAGTCCAAAATTTTAAAGCATTTTATAAATGAGAGGTCAAGGTCAGGGCTGGTGGGAGAAGTCTTTTAACTTTTCCTTCTCATCAAGATGACAGGGAACTTAAATGAAAGGTATAGAAGGAACAGGATCCTGTGGCTAGGCGATCCTCTAAAGCTTAAAGGTCTAAGTAGTTTTCAGATAAACTCCTAGATAGTCATAGAGGTCCCATGAAGAAGGGCAACCTAAATTCTGGCTTTCCTACTTCAGGACTCCAATTCTGAACCAATGAGAATATGTCAGGAGTTGTAAGAATCTGAGGCTGTCATTAGCAGCCAGGTCCCAATTCACTGGCTGCCTGTTCCCACTTGGACTGTCCAGGATGGTGAGAATGCTGGGCCCAAGCCTGTTTGACCTGGACAGAACCATATACCAATCAGGACATTTGATCTTTTCTCATAGTATTTTCTGTTCAGCCTGGTGCTCCATAGAAAAGCTGCCTTCATACCTCTTGCCTTTAGTTCACGACCTGGCCCTGACATTCCAAAATCTTGCTCCCCTCCTGTATACTGATAGCCCACCACTACATTTCTAGGTTATTTAAGCAACAGACCTAGGCTTTAAGAGCTTAACTGGACTGAATGGAAGCTCTAGAGGTAAAGCCTAAGGTCACACAGGTATTCTGAGCAGAGTCAGGATTCAAAGTCAGGTGCTCTGACTCTAAATCCATCTTTCTCTTCATTGCAACATTGCCTTGGCTCACACCTGTGACCTCAACAGGAAAAGCAGGCACACTGGGCTTTCAGGGCAAATTTCAGGCTTCCTCTTGGCTAAATGGAGAAAAAAAATTTTTTCCCTTCATGAAATTGGGCAACTTCTTGTTTATCTTGTCAGGGTAGCCTATGTCACTCCAAGCCTGTGCCACTGAAGAGAATCTAGTCAGCAAGCTCCCAGTTGGCTTCATTTCTTTACACATCTTTACCCGTTTAGTCTGTAGCCACGGTACACTCAGTGGTGAGCTCACCACGCTCCAGCAGCTCAGGGGTATGGTTTAACGCAATAAGAGGCCTGGAGACAGGCAAAGTACTCCCCAGAGGATCCCTAAAAGGAAATCTTTCCTCTGCATCACAACTTCTCGCTACTTACACCAACCGGAGCTCTTTTTCAGTCAAAAGAGAACCTAAACCCTTGAGGTGGCTAAAACACCATCACAACAGTGGAAAAATATGGGTTTATTTGTTTAAAAGAAGGAAATACAATCTTGAATTTATCTCTTGATATCTAGGTCTCTATCCTCCAGGACATTAATTTTCCTATTATCTCTCATCTGATCAACGACCCTGTGAGGTAGGCAGGTAGGCCTTCTTTGATCACTGTTTGGCCAAGGGACAACCATGGTCAAAAAAGTTACTTTGCTCAGCTAGTTAGTGGCAGAGCACCTAGGTGGAATCTCCTATGCCTTTTCTATTACAGTACAAAATACCAACAACCATGTGTCTTATAATGCTGTTTGTCTCTCCAAAAAAGCCTCGTCTCCCATGGAATACAGTAGAATTAGCTAGGTTGCCTTGCTAGAGGAAAGGTCAAAAAAGCAAAATTTTTCATTTGAACTGCCTGAGGGTTGGCATATGTAATTTATTCAAAAATGGCAAAGCCAGAGAGTCCATTAAGGAGCCTCCTGGCAGCAGAAAAGTAAAACACTCTTTTTCAGAACTTCATGGAACAGGTAAATTGTTTTGAGGTCGATAGGCAAAGTCTTTTAAGTGTTCGCTGTGTGCCAGGTACTGTGCTAAAGTGATCAAGAATTTGATTAAAATGAACATATTACTTTGAAATTACATTCTCAGTCTGCAGGTCACAAAGAAACGGATTCTTTCTGGATTGAAATGAGTGGGGAGAAAAAAGGGCTTCAAACCCAGAAACGGAAGTATCAGGTACAATCCTTCTAATACTTCTACAGATAGAATCTTGTTCCTCTCCAAATTCCTGGTTGTTATGAGGCAATCTTGTGTTGATGGTTGGGCTGGGGCACAAAAGAGTAAAAAGGCATTGAAGGTTAATGACCTTGACAAGAAGACCAAAAGAGAAGGGCCCCCTACTGACAATGCACTAGAAACACAACACCTGCTTCTTTCATTCCACCTCACTTGCAACAGGAGAAATCTTAAAAAGTACCTCTCAGGCAGGGTTGTTTATTACAATCAGATCAAAAGAACAGCTTTTCAGTAGGCCACTGGTGAGGGTATGATTATACGGAGTGACTCTTTCTAACAGCACTTGGAATGAGATATAAAGAAAAGGTTAAGTGAGAGTTTTCTGCATGAGTGTTCCTGAGCACTATGTCCAAGACACAGTCAGATCCTTTTGGTGACCAACACAAAGCACAGCACACAAAATACGGAAGCCTCATTGGTTATCTTTTTATTACCTTTCATTCCTGACAGAACCCCCTGCTGGGGGGAGGGGGGGAGAGACACAAAAAGAATGCCCAGCACTGGAGCCACATGGGAATAAGCATAGAAGAGAGAATTCCCAGGCAAATTTTCTGTTGTAATTTGCTTCAGCATTCCATGTTGATTCAACAGGAAAGGGACGACTTTCCTTGACCTCTGAGTCCCTGGCAAGTTGTCTGTATTTTCCTGGTTCATCCTTTAACTCTCAGAGGAAGGCCAGATCCTCTGATGATACTATGAAAGTGTGAAACAGTGCACACTCAGGTACACGTCTACACTTGTCAGCTTCTAAGCTGAAGTCCAGCCACAATTACAGCACATGACCATGATGGAAGTTCTGTTAAGGGAAGAAAGGTACCATAATCCAGGGGGTGTAGAGAAAGGGATAGGGCACACAAACAGAAGATGACGACGGTAAGGGAAGAATTCAATACAGCAGAAGTTAAAAAAATGGTAATGCCGACACAGTCCATTGCAGAGCCCCTGAAAACTGGGGTGGAACAGCCCGGGATCACTTGGACTGGCTGCCTTGGGGCAAACCTACCCCCCTACTACACACAGTGAGTGGTAAAGCTGAACTTGTTACGCTCCGCACTGATCCCCTTTTTCTGACCAAACTGGCAGGAAAGGGAGTACTTGGGACCAGACATCTGAGTTACAGACTTGTGTCCATGGACCTGGTCTATTCAGCCATCCAAAGTTTGAAGGTCCTGTCATAGGAACAGGTGGCTATGAGCTGACCATCAGAGGAAATGTCCAGGCCCATCACTTTTCCCTCATGGCCGGCCAGAGTCTTCAGTGGGGACCAACCAGGGTGTGTCCAGATCTTGGCTGTGTTGTCATAGGCACCAGTGAGCAAAAAGTTCCCATGGATAGCTAGAGAGAGGAAAAGGAAAAGTTGTTGCTTAAGACACTAAAGGGCAAAACATGCTAAAAGTACCAAACTAAAGCCTTGTTGTTAGGCTGTTTCGTTCAGAGAAGAAAAACTAGGATAAATGTTTAATGATCTACAGGAGGAAGCAGTTCAAATGAGGGCCAGTTCTTTCCAACCTAGGAACCAAAAGCATTCTCTGCCACAATTCTACCTAAATTGAGGGAAGGAAGGGCCATAAATTGAGAGAGGGAAGCTTATGATTTGTTTCCTCTGCACATTTCATCCTCTTTTAGGCTAAGCTGAGTGAAGCCTGCTCAGCACAACAACTTCCAAAGGCTAAGAGAGAGCTGTTAATGTCTTTGTGCTTCCTTTTGGAAAGCTGGATCCAAACAGACGGGCTTACGCTCAAACTTGACTCCAGTCACCAAGTTTTGGTGGGCAGGGATGGTGTAGACGCAACGCCGCTGCCTGAGGTCCCACACTTTGCATGTGTTGTCACCACTGCCAGTTGCAATGTGGTAACTGTGGTATAGAAAGAGAGAACCCAAGTTGGAACCCAAAACTGCATTGTTTCAGGTCATTTGAATTTTGAACAATAATCCATTTCACCCTCAAAGCTCAGTGAACTTGGTGTACCCATTAGGGGAGAAGTTGATCCCATAAATCTCCTTCAGGTGGCCCTCTAGGAACATGATGCATCGTCCTGTGCGCAGGTCCCATACACGACCAAAGGCATCCAGTCCCCTAGTAACAAAAACAGGCTCACAATGAACAGTTCAATTATGTCAGTTCCTAGAACAAAATTAACTTATGACTGCCTTAAGGTTCTAACGACAAAAGGAAAAATTGAAAGATGCTGGTCATTTTTTTTCCCATTAAGAATAGGCCCAAATAAGAACAGGCTTAAATGTTGGCAAAAGCAAAAGGGATTAAAAGTAGGAAGATGTCCCTGACCATTAGGTATGGGAGGCAAATGGACTAATGATGGAGGGGTGGGGTAGGAGGGAGAAAACTTAGAACTGAAAACAAAATAAAACTGAATTAAAAAAAAAAAGGAATGGACTGATGGAGTCGATTCCTCTGAGGACAATTAAGAAAATGGTAGACAACTATCTGCCTAGAACAGTTCAAATTTAGCTCTGCATGAAACAAGGGAATATAGAAGATGGCCTCTTTAGTTACCACCAGCAGCTTAG